CTCCTCGCGTCGCCGCCGCCGTTCGACTTCGATCGAGGGCCCATGGATGAACACGCAACGGCATCGGAGTGAATGCTTGAGCTCCGCGCGGATTTCTTGTGTCGGCGCCGGGCCCCATTGGCGGCGCCTCTGGCGCCGCCCCTGCCGCGCTCCGCGCGCTGGGGATGGAGGTCCAGCGCCGATCCAAGAAATTCGCGCGAACCTCCACAGGGTTCAGCTTGTACCGTATGCTTCGTCGGGTCCATCGATCGGCGGCTTTTCCAGAGTCGCGGCCTCCCAGGATCGTTCGGCCCCACGGCAATCCAAAAATGGATCTGGGACGAAAAACTACACCTCAAGAGGAGGTCGAGCTTTTTAGGGCACATCGTCGCCGTCGTCGGCGGCGGCGTCGGCGAAGGCGTGGGCGGCGGCGTCGGCGCCGGCGTCGACGTCGGCGTCGGTCGTGGCGTCGGCGTCTGCGTCGGTGTCGACGGCGTCGTCGGCGGCGGCGCCGGCGGCGTCGGCATCGTCGGCGTCGGCGTCGGCGTCGGCGTCGGCGTGGGCGTCGGCGTCGGCGTCAGCGCCGGCGTCGGCGTCGACGTCGTCGTCGGCATCGTCGGCGTCTGCGTCGTCGGCGTCGGCGTCGGCGTCGTCGGCGTCGGCGTCGGCGTCGTCGCCGGCGGCGGCGGCGTCGGCGGCGTCGGCGTCGGCACTCTTGTCGGCGTAGGCGTCAGCGTCGGCGTCGGCACCCTCGTCGCCATCGTCGCCCTCGTCGTTTGGGGGGGAGGCAGGGGAGAGAAGGAAGAAGAGGAGGAGAAGGCAGAGGAGGAGGAGGAGGAGGAGGACGAGGAGAAGTTTATATATACTTCCACATCTGGGCTCTGTCTGTCAGGACTAGCAGGATGGCGAAACGTGCGCAGACGATTTGCTGGTACATGCCATTTGCTGGTGAACCCGTGGCTAGCGGAGGGGCTAAAACTCGCGAGGCGCGGCGTGCACACACGGGGCTCGAGCGGCGAGCAAAGCGGGTGTGCCAGGCCTGGTGGGAAATTAAATGGCGAGAAATGCGGCAGCCTCGGCATCGGCTTCGTATTCGTCTTCCGCCTGTGGCGGGAGTGCTGCAACTATGGTCGGGGCGGACGGGAGCTCGCGATCGCTGCTCGCTACATCACTGGAGAGGGCGTTCCGAGCAGTGGGCTCAGAAAAGAGAGGAGGAGAGCTAGATCTTACGAATCGAACGGGCCTGCTCAGAGCACCTACTTCGACAGGGCGTCGACCCAGCATGACAACTCCTCCTCCAGCCAGCCTGGCGGCGCCATCCCCGTGTGGACGGTCGCTTTGCCGTCGTTCCTGACTGCCTCCAGGATGGTCGAGCGCATCGGGCAGCCGCGCATGGCGACGATGAGCTTGGTCTCGTCGGGCTTGTAGCACTTCTCCAGGCGCAGGATGGGCACCTCGTCCTCCAGGTCCTCGCGGCTGATGCAGATCGCCTCGTCCGCGGTGCCGTTCACCTTGTCCAGCCACGTCTTGAGTGCTGCCTTCGACTTGCCGCCGATGTCGCACGCGCTGAGCGCCTCGAGAAAGGCCACGAACAGGCTGGCGGTCGGCGCCCCCAGCGCCTTCAGTGCCTCCTTGGAGCCCGTCTCCTGCTTGCGGAGCTTGTCCACCTCGCCGCGAAAGTTGTCGACCTCGTCGCCGATGGCCACTATCACGGGGTGGGTCGTCGGGAACACCATCGTGTCGATGGTCGCCGCCGAGTTCATGCGTGTCCGATGCGTGTTCTGTAATACCAGCTTCGCGATGACTAGAAGAAACTCCGCTAGGTTCTTGTCTTTCGAAGTCCAGTTCTTGTCCGAGTGTTGGCCGCGGCGGCGGCGGCCGCCTCGGCGACGACGCCGAGGCTCCTCAGGTGCTCCCCCGTCCGCGGCCGCCGCCTCCGCTGAGCCCCGACCCTCTGCTGGTGCCTCCCGCCGCGCTTCCTTCGCGCGCGGCCCGCTCGGCTCGTTTGGCTTGCCACCACTGCCAGACCCCGCTGAGGATCTCGGGAGGCGCCAAGCTGCCCGCTGGGTGCCTGCCATCGTCGCCGTCAGGGGCTGCAGCAGGTAGCACAGGCAATGCAGGTGTAGTAGTCGATCGAGCTGGCGTTGGACCCGCTGGCGATGTCACCGCCGACGCCGCAGGCCGAGGGTGTCGATCGCGAGGCCGACGAGCAGGCAGACCCGCAGTGCTCGGAGGTGGGGGGGACAGCAGCAGCTGGGAGGCACGCTGTACCTCCTGTCGTGTACTGGCCGTATCAGAACGCGCCCACGTCGACCGCGGCGCGCTAGCTGTCGTGGAAGAGCGGGGATCCCCCGCGGGTGCGCGCGCCGCGGGCACGCGAGGCTGCGCCCATGGGCCAGATGGTGACGGAGGGATGTGTGAGAGAAGGTGCTTCCGAAACATCCCCATACTCTCGAAAGGGGACTGGCACTGGTGATTCTCGGAGACCTGGGAGTACGGGCATAAACGAGTACTAGTAGGTTTCCACTCATATACGTGCCGAGTCAGGTTAGGTAAACAGCGCGCCTGGAGCCAGGACCGACGGTGATGTAATACTGCGTGCTCGATACACGAAACCACCGTTCTACATACAAGGCACTGATTATCCAGGGTAAGAGTGGTCAATATGGGGGGCCAGCCATGTCCTGGAGCTTTAGAATGCACTTGGTGAATAGTAAGCTTATGTAAATTCTCGAACCGCATGGTGCACCCATCCAGACCACATATGAGCAACAACTCCTCCTCACCAGAGTCGTCCTGAATCGTATCGTCCCGAGGAAGGTGTTGCGCCACAGACGAGTACCCTGGAGGGGCCCACGACTTCGAGAGGAAACTGGACCGAAGAACACGAGGATCGCAAGCTCGAAAAGCATCGGATACATGATGATTGTGAAACAAGTCTCGGACCAGGGGGGGTCCCACTCAACCTTCAGCCTCTCTCCCGCGGGGTGTTCAAGCAGACATGCAAGATCGTCTCGTAACTGCCTGAGCCATGGATGCGCGGAAGGGGGCAGTACTCAATGTACCGTTGTCTGCAATCGAGGGGGGCCACCTGTCCCTGGCCGACTGTCAGCTCGAAGGTGCACTGGCCGAAAAAAGCTGATAAGAAATGCGAGTGGTGATTAGGCTCCGTGACGATCTGTTGCCACCAAGAGAGGCGGCGCACGAGGAGTTCAATCGAGGTAGGAGCCATTGACCAGTGTTCGAATACCTGACGCGTTGTCCAAGACTGGTGCCTGCCCTCCTCGGACTCCTGGCGCGCGCGCCCCATAGCCATGGCCCTCATCTTCTTGGCCAGACTCCGATCAATGCGGGCCGTCTCACCTGCTAGCAGACAATAAGATTCAAGACCCGACCAGGCACGACCAGCGACGTTGGCGATGAACGTCATCCGCTTGCTCATGATGGGGGCGGGTGAGGTAAGAAAGCGAGAGAGCATGCTCCAACCTATGTTGCAGGACCGCATGCGCTCCGTGACCTCCCTGGCGTTAGACCCTCCCACGTTAACATATCCTCCCAGATGAATTAAGTTAGTGACGGCATTTCCACTGATATGTTGCTCGGCTTGCTTCGTAGCTTGCGTAGTGGCTAGCTTGATGATTGTGTCCTGCTTCGCTACGTTTTGGGCATAGCCGTCGTGCTTGAGCTCATCGTTGAGGGTGTTGTTATCAATCAAATCGAGGGTGAGGGCCTGACGATAAGAACCATCTGGAACAATCATGATTTTTATAAGGTCGTCGATGAAGGCGCCGAGGGAAAGGTCCTGGGGCTTCTGAGTGACGGGGCAGGTGGCCTGGAGGAGGGGCCCTGTGAGGTCTTTCATTTGGAGCTTCCACCTAATAACGGGGCCGTAGAAGTTACCCATGAAGAACTCAGGCTCATTGGAATCCCCCATCCTCCCTCCTGACGCAGGTCGAAGGCAGATACTACGGTCCGCCGCGTCAACGTGAATCACCGCCTTCTCGCGGTGCATGGCCAGCATCTGCCGAAAGTGTCGAGACTCGCATCGCCAATCGGAATTCTCGATCAACTTGGATGTGAAACCGGTGCCGAAAGCGTTCCGCATGTCGTAAGACTTGATTAGATATGATAGTTTACATGTGCGTGATTTCCATTCTAGTATCTTAACGATGCTCATCAAGGCCTCACGTCGTCTGTTACGTATACCCCCATAGGCCCAATCAGGAAATACACACTCGCATCCATAATCAAGCACTCCTACTCGCAAATAAAGTCGCCACCATGGGCAGAAACAATGAATCATCCTGAGGCACGAGTTAATGTCTTTGATAGGGTCCCCCGTCGGCTGTTTGTTCTTTTTTGAAATCATAATGCCGTGGCTGGTGTAGGCTTGCCGAGGTAACCGCCGAGAGCACCGAACGTGAGCTAGTAAGGAAGCCAGTGCAGCAGGGCCCTCAGCCATGACCTCGTTAGTGAAACCTCCTAAGCGACGTTTATCGGGTCGTGGAACACGTGCTCGCTGTGGCTCCCAACGGAGACCGAAAGGGCAATCGGCGTCGTCATGGCCGACACCTGCGCCAGGCAAGCCAGGCCGACTAAGGTGACGTGGGTTCATGATCATGATACTCACTTCGGATGGCCACGACCAGGGGGGACTGTACCGACGATGACGTCGACGAAACAAACGTGCATGCATAAACCTTAAATCATCAAGTGCCTGGGTAATGTCGTCACTCGAGGGCTCCTCACAACATACGCCAATAGGGAAGACCTGATCTGGAGGGCGAGCTAGTAGGCTTTGGACTGCCGAACAATCCTCTGTCCAGATACTGTCGAAGACCTCTGACGCAGTAAGCCCTCCCTCCACTCCAGGCCGAGAGAGAGCACCAAGGAAGGATGACGCCAGAGGGCGAGCCGAGGGGAGGGCGAGGTACGAGCGCTTGCGTACACCGGTACGCGTGCCTGCGCGTAATCGTGCCAGTTCTGCTACTCGTGCTGTCTCGCGCCGTGCCCATGCCATA